TATTTTTAATTAAAAATAACGACTACGATTGCTTTTCCTTTTCTTGTATTACAGTTTTGTGTTTTCTTTTGTACAGAGTGTAGAACCTGTCCAAACGACTTTTGTCATCTTAATCCAAATAATGCCCTTCATTAAAAATAACATTAAAAAATGTCCTAAAAGGAACATCAGAATTCATCCCCGACTTTTATTTCAATAATAAAACAGACACTAGTTAACAATGACTTCCCCAACCACCCCTTATATCTCAAATGAGACCTTTTTTAAATAAAAACTATAGGTGAATACGAAAATATATATATATATACAAAAAATATAAATGCACATCAATATAAAAAAATAAATTATAAACATATTATAAAGAAATAAGAACCCCAATTGACCCGAATAAAAAAAAATTTCAGATTAATATATAAAGTTTCAGCTACTTATCCTCAAAGTTCTCATGTTTTTCAAAAAATCAAAAGTTAAACCATCCATTTAATTCTCCTAAAAAACTGTAAGTTGATCAAATTGAGGTGTTTACATCGATCACACGACTACATTTCATCTTCAAGCGAAATTTTAGAATCCATTTAAACACGCAGACTCCATTTGGTCCATCTGAAACAGACTAGTGAAAATACACACATTAACGTCATCCACATGTAAAATTCGTCTTAAAAATAATGGAAGCCTTAATAATAAAAAAGGCAACACTCAATTTTCTTCGTTAATGTGACTGTCGAAAAATAAAAAAAATTAATTCTAGAAACTATAGGTTCATCATCTTAAACTGAAAAAGTAAAATCATCCTTTATAATGGCTAAAAGTATAGGCGAAAGCGCTCGGAATGACAGGACATTTGGACAGTTTATCTATTTCCAAAAAGAAAGCCTTGTTCGAACACAAGAAAAATTAAAAAAAAAATCTAATGTAGTGTGTGTCGTCTTTAATGAAATATGTATAAATGAATATTACTAAATATATATATATATATATATATATATATATATATATATATATATATATATATAGTAAAGGTAATAAACAAACCTAAAAAATCCAAGTGGATCCTAGTAAATAAAATGATCCACAAAAGATATATAACAGAGCCAATAAACAATATTATACAAAAATAGTATTCCTCATATTTGAGAAAAATAAATTCCACCTCCCGTGACCACAGTCTCGGGTTTTAGTTTAAAAACAATGTATAAATTTTAAATAATTTTGACGGTTGGCAGATAAAATTTCAAAATAGACAGATGATAGTTTACGCATTGAATAAGACTTTAAGTTTAAATTTATTTTTAATTTTACGTATATATATCTTCATATGAGGTAATTTTTGATTTTTTGTTGTGTAATCCAAAATATATATATATATATTATATATATATATATATATATTATATATATATATATATATATATATAATGGGAAAATGTTTGACAAGTAAAAAGAAGCCTTTAGAGCGTTCATTAGACTAATTTTTTATGCTGGCGCGACTACACATTATTCTAGTCGAAAAAAAAAAAAAAAAAAAGGAATGGTGAAATGCTGGAAGAACCAAGGCACACATTTAGGCATTCTCTAAACATTTTATTTGTATTTGTTGTTTCGCCTTTGGTCATGTAGAATTTTTTATATGTTATATATATATATATATATATATATATATATATATATATATATATATATTGTCATCCACAGACAGAGTCATCTTGGATTCTGGATCGAAACCTGGCTGAACTGGCGTCATTTAGCTGGATACACTAAATATATATATATATATATATATATATATATATATATATATATATATGTATAACACATTTTACAGAGACACATCCCTTTCCAGGAACCATAAAACTGCCAAAATGACCAAGGGAATTCAGAGCAGCATGAATCCATCCAGCTCTTATCTTGAATAACACCAACACAAGGAATGACCAAAATTCATGTTAAAAAAATAAAAAAAACAAATGAATACTACAGACAAAAGTTCATTTTCTCCATCAAGACATTCATTTCTGTAATTCACTGCACCCAGCAAGCAGAAATTTTTTTTTTCTCCTGATGATGGCCATGTTGACCGAAACTAGTCGAGGCATCTAACTGAAATAATAAAAACGAAAGAATATTAATATACAACCCAGTGTGTCTGAAGATTTAAATTTTCTAATTTTTTTTATTGTTCAATATATATATATATATATGTATATATATATATATGTGTGTGTGTGTGTTTGTACTACCAATGTTATGCTCCATTTTCGCGCTAAATGTATTTCGAATGAACAGAGTACAGAGATAAAAAAAAAAATCTCTCGTTTTTACCAAATGATTTTCGACGCGTTCTCCTCTCCGACAATTAATAATAATAATAATAATAATAATAATAATAATAATAATAATAATAATAATTACTGTTGTTATTGTTGTTTAAAACGTCAGATAATGTTCCAAGCGACCTTCCGGTTTTTTTAACGTAAAGAAACTCTCGTATTGTGTCCCGTCCAGCGGAGTGACAACGAGGTAAGGGAAAAGTAGGGTCGGCTCAATTAATGGCAAGTAAAATAATGCCAACTGATCTAATGCGTGAGACGGAAAGATTGTCGTTCGTGGTGCCTGCAAGTGGGGTGGACGGTCGGGGTAGATGGGGATTCTGGGGCGTAGGCTGGCTGACGGGCAAACGCGACTGACATTGTTTGCCATTGAGCTAATTGTCATCGGGTCGAGCACAAATCGCTAACTGCGTAATTGTCCGTGCAGAGTTAGAATTTGCTGGTCTCTTTCAACCTGGCGGGCGTGTGCTTGTTGTCTCTCCCAGGGCTTAAATGTTTTAAGTAATTTTGCGGGGGGTGGGGGGTGCTAAAGAGCATGTGTCAACGTCCGTATCTGACTGGGTCTGCGTGTGCGTCATGAGAATCTGATCGTTGTCTATAGTTCGAACGAAAGACATGCTTCGGGCCCCGAACGAGACACTTAAATTCATACAAGTTTCGTTTACATGTTAAAGCTGTTTGTAAATAAATGGTTTGATAATGCACTTCACTTCCTCCTATCGACTTTCTTTCTTTTCTTTTTCTTTTCTTTCTTTCTTTCTTTCTTTTCTTTTCTTTCTTTCTTTCTTTTCTTTTCTTTTCTTTTCTTTCTTTCTTTCTTTTCTTTCTTTCTTTTCTTTTCTTTTCTTTTCTTTTCTTTCTTTCTTTCTTTCTTTTCTTTTCTTTTCTTTCTTTCTTTCTTTCTTTTCTTTCTTTCTTTCTTTTCTTTTCTTTCTTTCTTTCTTTTCGTTTCTTTCTTTTCTTTCTTTCTTTCTTTCTTTCTTTTCTTTCTTTCTTTCTTTCATTCTTTTCTTTCTTTCTTTCTTTCTTTTCTTTCTTTCTTTTTTTTTTTCTTTCTTTCTTTCTTTCTTTCTTTCTTTCTTTCTTTTTTCTTTCTTTCTTTCTTTCTTTTCTTTCTTTCTTTCTTTTTCTTTCTTTCTTTCTTTTTTTCTTTTCTTTTTTTTCTTTCTTTCAGTTTCGGAGAATAGAGTTTTTCTTTCGAATCCATTTTCTGTTATAATTTCTTTGTTTTTCTTTTTTTCTTTCTTTTTTCTTTCTTTTCTTTCTCTTCTCTCTCTCTATATATATATATATATATATATATATTGTGTTTAGGCAGCAATCCTTCATTTATACATGTTTCATCAAAGAGGACAAACAAGTTAATGCAATTAAGCTTTTTATTTCATTTTTCTTGTGTTCGAGCAAGTGTTTTATGTTGGGGAACAGAGTGGGTTGAAACAGTCCAAATGTTGAGAAAGGTATTAATCCTCTTTTTCCCCTCCAGCTATGGGTAAAAATGCCGGACAGACTGGGATCTATAGACTTGGATGGCAACTGGTCGAGGAGAAGGACAACTCTGAATTCAAAACCTGCGGAGGGTCTTTTGGGGACCTTGTGGCACGTAGTGCACCAGGTCTCTGTATTTGGCCCTTCAAAAAGTGTGGATGGTCCTGCACGAAACCTTCACCCCTATAATCAATTCTCATGTGCTGGCATCGGGCTTTTAGTTCCTTGGAACTGATCTGCTTGACGAATACGATGGGGAAGTATATCATATATATATATATATATATATATATATATATATATATATATATATATATATATATATATATATCCATCGTCTTTGTCAAATTGAACTGAATTGTATTTTTAATGAATATTCTCCTGAAGAAGGTTTATTAAACCGAAACGTCAGACGTCGACATTTCATTCATTTGTAAACAACATAATTGCATTTAAGGATTTTTGTTTTGTTTTTCCAAATTTTCTTCATTCTGTCGGATCTATATCCATTTACCTTTTCTTATATATATATATATATATATATATATATATATATATATATATATATATATACTTCAGTTCAAAAGTAAAAAGGGGTACAGAAGAGTAAAAAATAATGAAAAGGGTTCTTAGATTCATTGAAAAAAGAATGGAATCAATTAACAAACTTATATTTTGAGAAACTTTTGCAACCAATGCCAAAAAATTGTTCTGCAGCAATCAAGGTTAAAGAAGGATATTTTGACGAGAGCAAAATTTAATCCCTTCGCTGACAAAAGATGCATTAACCTACAAATCACTCGATGAATGTTATGATCCTTGTTTTTAAAAAATATAAGCTGTATAAGGTTTTTCTTTAATACACAAGTACTTTCAACTGTACTTTCAGTCATCTTCAGACATGGAAATTATTTTGTTTTTGGTAAAATTCAGCCGGCGGTCTGACATCGGGCCACCGGCGGTAAACGCTAGTGGCATGCCACCCAGTGGCATATTGTTGGTTTGCGTGTAGGGTAGCGTTAACCGCTGGTGACCCGTTGTCGGACCGCCGGCGTGTTCGTCTCGGAAATGTTGTCACTGGCGGACCGCTAAAGTTTCAAATCGACGTTCCTCGTTTTAGTGGAATCAAACGCTTAGATGCAGCGTTCTTTAGACCGCTCAGCCACAGATGAGCGTCACAAC